TGGCCTCACCGCTCTTTACACCCGGAAGCGTAATGTACATATTTATGTATTATATAATAATATGTATAAACCCGAAGTACGTTACCCCAAAAACGACAACATGAAGGCTTATTGACTTCACACACATAAAAAAAGTGGTTGACACGGCTGGTTCGTACTTCAAAACCCAGTTTATAGACGTGTTTAAAAATTATAGGTTTTCGGTCACTAATGTTAAAACGGTTCACGATTGGTTTCACAACCCTATGCAGTTCTGGCAGAATCAATTCAATTTTGCCGTGTGCTGTGCGACAACTGGATGTGGTTTGACATTAACCGACACTAGGCGTAATGAGCTAAGTAAATCTGTTTTCACTTTCCACGTGTATTACCAGGTAAGGCGTATCCTCAAAGAAATCAGCGCCCCAGTCCCACAGGACAAGGCATGGGATGCAGTAAACAATCCGTACGATCGACGTACGTACGAACGGATTTGTAATGAATTCGAACTAAACCCAAAGACGGATTGGCGTTTGACGGGCCCAAACCATGGGTTGGGTATCCCTATCGTCCACAATATGCCCCTCGTGGAAGCCAGCAAAATGCTAAAAGAATGGGGTGGTAAAACATATGTGAATGCTTACGTCACGATTAACGAGTGGAGAGATGATCTCATGTCTTTCGACGGCAGCAAGGATTACCGAGTATGGAGGTTCGAGCAGGGTCCGGATGACTGGAAAATATTTATGCTGGACACGTCGAAGGGTTTTACTCGTGCTGGTGTTATCAGATTGAACGATTCGATTCGAACGTACGTGTGGGCTGGTCTAGGGTCTCAATCACAGACTCATTCTAATATTATAGGTAAGGGAACGGCTTACGATTCTCAAAAACAGTTCGTGGCTAATATTGAGGACGCTATCGCATCACCAGTAGCTTTACCCAGTGCTATAAACCGATATCAGGATACGTTGCAATACGCCAGGTCAAAAGTCGACTACGTGTTCGGTGTTGGATTGTACATGGCTCCGAGTGATATGCGTCTGAGAATCAATAAAATAACAGGCTACAACAATGAAATAATCATCGCCACAGCCGACCAAAAATTGGGTGTTAACGCCGACGTCAACGTCTCCCATGTACCACCACCCACGCATACTGGTGAAACTGGTATAGTGGCATCACCCCCAGAGTCTAGGGTTAAGTCCACACCACCACAACCCCAACCACCACACGTGCAGGTGTCTAATCAGCAGCACATCGACCGTAAAACAGTGCTGGTGGTTGTTGGGATCGCGGTTGGCTTTGGTTTCATCTGGTTAAATATTCCTTAGCGACCACGTACACCAACCCGGCAACAGCGACGATGAACGCCCACAGGTTTTGACCTAGCCACGTGACTGTTTTCGAGAGAGTGCTAAGCAACCACGAGACGATGCTACCCAGGATACCTGGCAGGGCTTTGGCGGCTTTACCGGAGAGTTTAGCCAGAGCTTCCCCTAGTGATTTCAGATGTTTTTATCCATTCTCTGACGTCACCACCACTCGGTGGTTTTGGTGGTGTTGGTGTTCCTCCACCACCCGTCAGCGATACGACTAGGGTCGATATGATGAAGCCAAATGCTGTTATAACGCTTGCAATGGTGATGCCTTGCTCTCGGAACAATATTCGGATCCTTTCAGCCAACGTGGTATCCTCGTTCAGTACTCGATCGATGGTTTCCCGCACGCGGCTGATCTGAGATCGAAGCTGTTCTCGATTAGAGGAAGCGGATTCCAATCGGGTCTGTCTCTCATCTTGTAAATTACGTAGTCGTTCTATGATACAACGCTTAATATCATCGTCTTCAGTTTCGGTGAGTTTGGTTTTTTCACTTGCGATGTGCTCGTCGAGTTCGTTCAGTTTACCCATGTTCGTTGAGTTTTCACGAGTTCTCCACGTACATGTTTCAAGGCTTCATCTAAGCCGTACAGTTCCCTCATTGGAAATTTAAAACCAGGCAATGGTTTGTCCCAGTACGCGCCCAACAGTTTTTCGATGCTGTCCGACGCTTCTGTAGCACGCTGTGTCATGTCACCACCACTACTGAGTTCGGACCTGGTAGCTTGCAGATCTTGAACTACCTTCGGAGGAATCTTAGGTTTTGCACCACCATAATCCTGCATGTTTAGTTTATTACGGATAAATTCGGTACCATGGCGACTGGTTAGCGTTGACAAGGCAAGTGGTTTTCTAGTGCGCGTGTTCATGATATTAACCTCCGGGTTATCCTTAAGGCGTAGAATACCTTTATCATCTATATAAAACTTTGAATAGTCTTTGTATTGATGCTCGACGTAGTTTCTATCGTTTGTTAATCCATCGTAATAATCGTCTACTGTTGTTTTAAGTAGTTGGCTGCTCAATGATGAGTTAGTAAACGAAATGTCTTCATCGTAATCAACATCATCAGAGGCCATAGCTCCAAAATCATCCATCGGAATATCATCCATATTTTTGAAATTATATTATATTAATATAAATATATAACAATGTCATATGGTAGAAAACTAAATCCTTTTCGAAGATTAAGAGAACCACTAGGCGTCAAAGCCGTGCGTCAGTCGGTGACTATTACAAACAACCCCAGCAAGATAGACCAGAACCAAGTACTGTTGGTTAGATTCCCCAACTTGGGGGAGAACGACGTAATAGTACCAGGTACGGTACGATTGGCATTTAACATCACGTTGAAATCAGACAACGACAAACGTGAGCTAGTGAATAATGTGGGTCGTGCTATAGTCAAGAGGACCTCCATAAAAATTAGTGGTAACGAGGTGCTTAGCATAGATGAGAGCGATGTATATTACTGTTACACAGACCTATGGACAAGTGAGGGAGAACGCGCCAACGACGTGTACCAGGGAACAATAAACATTCCGTTGATTGGTTTGTGTATTTTGTCTTATTTACTTAGCAGGAAGTCCGCTTAGCCAAGCGGTGGTCTAGCGGTGAACGCTTATTTACCTTTGATGCGACTAACACCAATTGTAAACTATAATTGAGCCGATCATGTCAACTCAGTGTCAATGTCACTATGCATTTAAGATGCCATCAGACACAGTGTGATATCAATCAGTTGTAAGAAGCGATTTTATTGGATAAAGATTGGTTTCTAATGACGCTTTTTCGCCACAGTCTGCTATAAGGGCCGTGATTGGTCAAAATCAGACACATGACCTAGGGCAGCCAAAATTATATTTCTATTAATATATATTATGTCTGAGGGAAAAACATTCGTTATTGATGCATACCACGCCTTAGTGGTTTCCGGATTATGAATACTACGTGCTAACAGGTAAACAACTAGAACCATTAGGCAATGCACCAAGGATTTCTCAGTATTACACTCCTTCCCATGGGCAAAAAGATCGTGGGTTGGTATTCGTGGCACTGGGTTTAGCATCGATAGTGTTAATTGTGAAACAATTAGACTAATCACACAAATTATTATATCAAAAAATGAGATACGCACCATATCTTTGTCAATGGGTTCTTATGGGAAAACTGAAATTTGTGGTAATAAAAGCCACATTGAGGGTTATTGTTGTTTTCACCGTAAAGGAGTTAAAGGTCATTACCGATTATGTAAAGCCCACGGCGCGGATAAATTACGATTTAAACTTATTTATGATAAGAAAAAAAGACTACATCTTCGAAGTTAAACGTTTGTTAAAGATAATGGTATAAGTATATATTTTTTTATCCCTGTGGTATGATTTGTAATTCCTCACGTACGAATCCTCTACGTGGTCCATCTTTCAAGAAGTATAAGTTAGGTTCCCCGTCTTTGATATCCACTCGACTGATATTGTACGTTTTCATAGACCATATAGGATCTGTAGCACGTTTACGGGTGTCTCCCTCGTATTCACCTGGTTGATATAAATATCTAACAAGCGCGCGATCTGGAAATTTTTTTTCTTTCCCTTTTTACGACGGGGTGCTGCTGCCTCTGATACAACGGATTTCATACGGATTGCTTCGACTGGTCTCTGATCAAGTAGTCTTGTTATTTCATGATTCATGAAGTCAACCACCCGTGGAAGTCGTTCTACCCATTCAGTGTTTCTGTTATTAGGATCCGCTAAATCACGTGAATATTGGTGTGAAAACAAACGGTCAGCTATGGAGCGATTGAATCTCTCTACTATAGCTTGACTTCGATGGGCACCTACCTCACCGCGTCTAACTTCGATACTGATCCCATGAATTCCCAGCCTGGATCGACTTGCAATAAATCAGGCCATGTAATCCAATCAATAATTCAATCATCCTTTTTATTACCATAAGTTTACAAATACATGCAAAGCATCATGGGGGTATTTTTCAAAAATATATCACTTTTAGGCTATGGCTTGAAACAAATCCAGCAATTATGTACAGATAAATTAATCATGTCATGTTGACAGACATTATAATGGAAATAAATTTACATAGATTTCTTAATTGCTTCATATTATGAGTTTCAAATAGGGCTGACATTTTGTAATAGTTAGGGTTGTTTACAAAATAATTCTTTAAATACATATTTCTGGGAGCAGTAAATTTATTGCATTGAAATAAATAATGAAATTCATCTCCGAGTTGGGAGGGACATGACGGAAAGAATCGTTTATTTGAGGGAATATTTTCCCAGCGACCTGTTTCAATAGGTAATTTATGGTAAGCGGTTTTAAATTTGATTCAAATATTACAGTGCTTTGTTCCTAATTTACGTTCCAGTAAGGAGATATCATAATGAGATTTCATACATTCGTAGATAACAGCTTTAGAGGAAGATGTTATGGGGTTGTTAAACAATTGGAGCGATTGGTCTGAGATTCTAAGTTGGACAGCATTTTTGAACCCAGAAAAGGAAACTATATCTTGAGAGTGCCATATATTGGACATACCAATATTATCCGACTACGCTTGTATATTCTCTTAAACGCTTGTGCTACTTGATCCGAGTCTTTCGTGGTTAATAGTTCAGCTTCCTTGTAGCGGCTGGCTACGTCTACAACTGTCAGGGCGTACTTACAGGTTTTACCTCTAACCCTGTCGTGTGGAAGAAACAACAGGTCGGCCTGGTGAACTTGATTAGGTGTATGTATACCGAATTTTCTCCTCGGTATATATTTTGGTGCTGGTAAGTATATTTGCCATATAGCTTGTTTTTGTAACCAGGCTTTGGCTTTTTCTTCCGAAACACGTGTGGCTTTAGATAATTTTGTAATAGCGTCTACCCCTTTCCAATATCCTCGCGGGCTGTAGTAAATTTTCTCCATTATATATATAATTATTTTTTTTTATGACCGTAAGCAAAGGTTTTGACACCATCTGAAGCTATCCATCGTTTTGTATCCATTGGTGATAGAGATGTCTTATTTATAGTCATCCCGTATATCTTGTGCCCGTCACTACGAAGTATGTTCATCTGTTGTTTGAACGTTTTCTTCTCGAACAGGGTCTGTTTGTAGAGAGTATGTTTAATATGTCGTTTCACCACGTTCTTTTGCACACCTTTAGCCTTTCTTATTTCAGCGTCATCTGCTTTTTTAATAGAATACATCTTAGGTCTCAATCCAACGTATTCGGTGATTGGTGTGCCAGCACTTTCATCCTTCATCTTACCTAACACCTTTTTGTTGACTTGGCTATGCATAGGGTGGTCTTTTGGGTAATCACTGGTATCGTATAGGTGTATATTGTTTTTAATATCCTCGTACACGTCCTCGGTTTGAATTTCCATGAGTAATGAATCCGTATCCGTGTAACACCTCACACCCTTCACCGTATTGTTTCTTGAGCTCGTTATAGTAGAAGTCATACATGAGATGTTTTGTTAGGTCTAGAATGCTCATACCAACATAAAGCGGTCGATTAAGTATAATGTGGCTCTTTTTCATATGTATCGCAGGCAAGTCATCATCGAATATAATACTTCTATTGTACGCCGGGTTGGATATCAATTTCCTGAGTTTGTTTTCCTCACTCGACCGGACTAGCTTCACGTTAACGCGTTTTCGTAAATTCTCCATCGTTTTACCAAATACAGAGTTGTTCATGAGTTTGTACAGGTTTTTCTCGAAGTCGCTTGTGGCTATCTTACGTAAATCCGTGTTCATTCTGATGTACGGTTCCATGCACTAACTTTGATTGAATTTTAGTACCCTATGTATTTTAGTCAGCTTCATACCCAGCGACAGATATAGTTGTAAATTGCGATAGTGAATGATGTACTTAGTTTTATTCATCAAGTTAGGTACAAGTTTTTCAACGTTTACCACCCGTCCTGTAGGACCCAGCAAATTTCGTTGGTAGTCAGACATCCATTCCATATTCACCTTCAAACGCTCTGGAGCCAGGGGATAACTGTTGTGTGAGGTGTGTAAATCCTCCGGATATTCTAAATCCACTTCGAGTATATAATATTCTTTATTCCTCCATCGGAGAGTACAATAACATGGACAGGCAGAAAACGTACTTTAAGTAGGAGAGGTATTTAAAAAGGAGAATACATTAGAGTTATTGGAGCAGCACTAGATTAGATGAGTTTGGTTTTAAGTCACTTTACGATAAGGTAAATCTGGTGTATTTACACAGTCTATACAATCCTTGAACGACCAGAGAAGAGTAGATGGTGTTGTCAGTGTCATCCAAAGGGACACATGGAGTGCATGATAGAAGACAGCATACCACATCCGGTTTATGGACAAGAAGTCGACCTTTTGAAATTTCGCTATGGACACGAAGTCGACCCGCGGTAAACTTTGATGTTGAAGGCGTTGCTAGAGTCACGCTAATCCGCTAGTAGGTGTTGTTTTAAGATTTTCCATAACCGGAGCATCGTGTAAGGCGTGAACATAGTTCACTCAACATGTCATCAATGTTATACATATGAGAGTGAATTCACAATGATGAACATATTTAAGGAAGGAACACGCGGTAGATTGCATTCAATTTCGAAATGGCAAATACACAGTTACATCTCGTGGTGGAAGATACCTGTGTGTTGGTGGATTTATGAGTGAAGCGAAATTGGATATCCTGGAAGTGCACAGAAAAGAAGTGTAGTTTCACTGCGTCAACTGTCAATGACATTATGACGATGATGAAAGGTGACCATGCTCATACCCGTGTCCAAGTAGACATAAAGGTAAGCATCTTGTCAATGCCTGATATCAATATATTACTAAGGAAAATATAAAAGTAAAATAGATATATCAAATCTGAATAAAGTACGTGACCATATTTTGCATATCGTTTAATAGATTTTGTTTACAATTCTAACAATTTATATATAGCAGTAGAGTGGTGTAACGTGGTCTGTGTAAAAGAATGTGTAAAAAGAAATAATAAATCTACTTTTGCTATCTTTCAGATGAACCAGTTTGCAAATGGTGCATTTCACCTACTTCATGTTGGATGATTTTGTATACGAAATAAAATGGACGAAATATAGTACTTTACTCCTGTTGTCTGTGCTCTCAACCGCAAAATCCGGATTATCGCCTTGTGAAAACACTGGATTATTTCTCTGCCTTTTTCTAATCCCCTGTTAATTGGTATAAGGTCAAATGGACAGGACGAACCGTGACGTTTCACCCAAGGGTCGACGTCCTGTGCAGACACCGGGTAGATACCCTTACGTAACAGCAAAGCTCGAGTTTCCTCTTCCTTAGTTACAGCTAAGTCATTCGGGTTATTAGCTTTGACCAAGCTGTCTAGAGACGACAACAGAAACTGAACACTATCTATGAATCTCAACCCATTTAGCGAAAAGGATATATATCTTTCCATATTGTTTCTCCCCTACACCTATGCAATCAACCCTGTGCGAATCTAGCAGATCAGCCCTAGAAAACCCGTGAAGGCACCTTTCACAAAAGTGTTTCTTTTCCCTGTGTTTCGATTGATTGTACAACAGTCGGCTGAAATTCTTTATCCATGTGTAGTGATATTTTTCACCTTGTTGGATCATAAATATATTGATCATTTTACGACAATCCTTATACAATATAGGACTTACCCTGTGTACTATTACGTTTTTACCTTCGTGTCCGAAAACGTTTATGGCTAAGTCTTGATTCTGTTGTTCTATTTTTTGGATCTGAGAGATGGGGGTGGGTTCGTTTATACCTTCCCAATTGAGCCCGTCATCTTCTGGATAACTGGAAAGTCTATCGGAATGTTTTTCAACTGGAAATTTAGGAGATGTTATCGCTATCCTCATACAATTGTTGTCTCGGTTTTTAACGTTAACCATAGCTTGTTTTTTCTTCAAATACTCAGAATGGGGTAAGTACGATCCACCTTTCAACGGTATAGAGTTTGCTATATCCAGGTAGACCATATTAATCTTGTCAACAACCCAACCAGAACCCATATTAGTGTAACGTTCTAGTGTTTCTCGCATTTTTTCTAATGATCTGTCTATAGAAGAGTTGATGGTGTCTGGTTGCGTTGTAACTTCTTGATTACCTCCGAAGTAAACACTGGTGTATTCAGTTGTTTCATTCGACTGTTGTTTCTCTAGTGTCATGAAGAACTTAAAGATTTAAGAGGTATTAAATTTCAACTCACGTTAAGTGAGTTGAAATTTAATACCTCTTAAATCTTTAAGTTCTTCGTTTACTTTGTCAAATACCAATGGTTTCATGTCTTCAACATCTATGTTTCTTTAAACTTCCATCATCCAACCTCTCAAATATTTACCTACAGCATGCTCAGCAGGTGTGAATTGTAATTCTATAGGTTTTTGTTCTTTCAGTAATTCAATTAGCTCAGATTTCCTCATACGAGAATAACCTCGCATTCCACGTTCACGAGCTTGCTTTGTTAGTTCTTTCACAGGTGTTTTTGATATTTAAAACCTAATAAATCTAGTAATTCATGTTTTCTCATACGAGAATAACCTCGAAGTCCACGGTCTCGTGCTTGCTTTTTCAATTCATGTACTGTAAACATATCATAAAGTTACAAACACAGCAGTGTTGATATTATATGTGAAAACAATTCTCTAAATAGACAAACATCCTTCATGTTAAACATAAGATGATGTAATAGATATAGGATTGTGTAATCTTACCCGTAACATACACCTTTCATACATCGAGGGACTTGATACGATTTGACTTCATTAAATGTGACACTCTAATGGTGATAGAAAAAATTAATAGATACTTATTGATTGATTGCCTTATATAGGATGACCCCATACTCCATAGTCTTACACTTTCGAGTAAGACTATGGTTTTTTTATCTCCCCTGTACCATAGTCTTACTCTTTCGAGTAAGACTATGGTTACTTTTTACAGGTCAGATAAAACGTATTTTTGTATGGGTTTATGGTCCTGTACCACATAGTCTTTCGAGTAAGACTATGACTACTTTTTTACATGGGAGATGAAAAGTAGTTTGCGTTATGGTTTTTAAAAATTAATATGAGTTAGGAATAGATACTTATTGATTCCTTGCCTTATATAGGCTGGTCCCGTACCCCCATTGTTTATAATACTCATCACAAGATGAAACATATCATGTGAAATATATCTCAACTACCATTTGGAGGGCCTTTTCAACGATCTTCTTAAATCTGCCATGCCAACACCCCAAGTAATAATAAGATACATAATTTTTAAATCATGTATGACCTATTTCAACTTATTACTGACCCTACGAAGGTCACCCAAAACTCTAGCACTTTGTTAGATATTAGTAGATTAGTAGGTTAATCAATAACTTTGGCGAGACGTAGAACGTATCATCCCCGTAGACGTTGAGTGAACACATGAATCAGTATCATTATAATCTCAGTGAGCTAAACTCAGTAAATTAACTCGGTAAGTTTGATCATATTTCAAAACAAGTTCAGAATTTTATAGCACCCAGTGTCTTAATCCCGTATAACAACACCGACGCAACATGAACGAGATTATACTGTAATAACAAAATCCTACTTCACGGGAATCCATTACGCAATGGCACGGGTTCACTTTTATGGCATGTAATACACTCAGTCAATCAGTATGTCTGGTACACTGTTATATAGTCCATATAGCGTAGGTGTGTGGAATTTGTATTCATACGAACATTGAGAAAGGGAAAAAAATAAATATATTTGCGCTTTTGTGGATAACAACTAAAACATACACTTGAAACTGACTTTTGAAAATGCTCGCAATACTAGCGGTAAATAGAACAGTCAATATAAATTTTTGACACATAGAACAAGAAGAATTCAGATGAGCGAAGACTCGTATATAGAATTGGTTCCTAGTTGGTCGCATAGGACGGCGAATAGTAAACACTTACTCTAAACATAATCCCAACTTTAAAAAAAGTATCACTTCACGCGTGCATTGATATCACGCACAAAGGGATAATATGAAAATATGGCTTATTCCTGCAGTTTTCATGAATAAATATGTCACATGCAAGATACATTATGTATATCAACAATAAGAACTCTAACGGATCAAAAGATTCTTGAAATAGTTCAGTCTATACACTCATGGGCCGGGGATCCTTGGGAAAAAAGAGAAATTGAAAGAAGTAGTGGTAAAATCCTTCCTAAATTTCCAAACATTTCCAAGCCTTGGAAACATCATCTTTCCAATTTTGGAAATTTTTGGAAATGATATTTCCAAATTGGAAATTTTTGGAAATCACCATTTTTTTTGTGCAAGTAGTACATCTCCATGGTGCCAGTCCTTCTCAATACGAATGGAGCTGATGTCTTCATACCCATCGTATTTAATGTCAAAGAGCATGTATTTCCTTGCATCAGAATCATCATCAGCATAGGATGACATTGTACTTGGAACACTGGCCTAGAGTACAGTATCTCTGTACCACTTGTAGCTCTTAGCAGAAATGGATTTAAACCTGTGGTGTATTTTTCTACCAACAGGATTTGACATTTCTGATATAACTTTGATTTTGTTTGCAATAGAATCAATAAATGATTCAAAATCCTCATAAGTGAGAGATTTGGAGGAATCCTATTTACCTTGAAAACAATATTCACAATACCCAAGCATACATATGCAAGGTATAAGTGCACATGTAACCTACTCAAAAGCTTTACACTGCATCATTATAATGAATGTTATAAATTTAAAACAGATAATTTGTAGTTGATGTCTCGTGATCATTGACATTTCTTTTACATTCCAGTTATGATTTGTCAAATCGGATTTATTTTAAGCCTATTCATGTAAAATACAACCAGCAATAAAAGTCTTATACAATAATGCAAGTATATAAGTTGGATAATTTATCCGTATGTAACTGTTTGGTCTGTAAATTTAACGGTGAATTCCAGAAAAGGTATTACATCAAATTTGTCCGGGACCACTTCTTCGGAAGTGGGAACGAACATGGGGAAAGAAGCCTGAACAGGATAAAGTAATGTCAGTTCACTGCATTAAGTTACTTCAAAGGAGGCACAGTTTGTTTAAACTAATTTAGTTTACACAGTTGATGCAAAACTTTGGGAACCGTATTAATAATTTCCTATCCCGACAACCGTACATTGAAATAATACATTCATGCAAAGAAATAATTAACGTAGCTATTGCATTGTAAAATGTTAGAAATTAAATGCAATACTTACAGGGTATCTGCTGATTCGTTATCAGAGTTGAGTTTTACGCCTCACTCAGCAATATTCCAGCTATATGGCGGTCTTTATCAGAAACTGTATTGTCCATTGCAACAAAAATAAAAACTTATGTCACAGGGTGTCCTCACAAAACTATATAGATGCAGTATACACAACACCAAAACTTTAAACATGAGTAACTTATCTATAATAAACTTAAACGATACACCATATTTAAACTTAACTCAAGCTTTCCAACTGACTCAAACCACCTGTCGCGTCCGCTAGACACCACGTGCAACTGTTCCCTACATGCACTCCGAAACCCACGTATACACGCCAAAACACCCCGGTTGCGTTTTGTCGATCCGTTCAATGTTCAGAAACGTTTGTGTTGCGTGAAGTAAAGCACTGATCTTGACAACATATAACGTATCCCTAATCCTCCAACTTCCATCTGCCTCTGAAAGATGTTACGTTGTCATTATAGCCTTCTGCAGGTATCATCTACGGGAGACGATCAGGTGAGCGTGAATAGATGGTGTATACAATCAGCGCTCTCTCCCTGTCCGTGGAAAACGACTCCCAATCTTTACACACAAATGCAGAATACGTTTATAGGAAATTATCTCTTGTTTAACGGTTAGTACAGGGATTTAGAACCGTGAAGATCCGGGTTAGAATTGATCTTCAGTAACCCATGCTTCTCGTAAGAGGCGACCAACGGGATCGGCTGGTCAGGCTCACTAACTTAGCAGTGTATGAAATAAGCCAAAAACCCAGCCAGACATTTTTTAAGTTACCAGCCCCAAATGGATTTAACCAGACCAGACACCAAGATATGGTGAATTTACTCAAATTTATGACTGACTGAGCTTGGTTTTACGCCGCTTTTAGCAATATTCTAGCAACATCACGGCGGGCTCAAATTTATGAAACATCTAATTTTTTTACCAGACCATCGGGCTGGTTAGCTGTAAATTTAGACCGTCCTTCAGGAATCTAGACCGTCTGTTAATGACATATCTCCAGCAACAACGTCAAATGTTATGACGTATATCTCCAGCAACAACGTCAAATGTTGATGACGTATATCTCAAGCTACAGTGTCAAATGTTAATGACGTATATTTCAAGCTTCAACGTAAAATGCCAATGACGCCTATCTCCAGCAACAGCGTCAGATGTTAATGACGTAAATATCCAGATGTTATAGGCGCCTGATGGATGATTGGTGGGGAACTACGCAGGTCGCCCATGTACCGTAGGTTCAAAGGGTCCCTAGCATTTTGGCCTACATTTGATTACTGGTTTACTATAGACTGTTTTAATATTGTGGTGTTGAAATACAATCTGTAGGGTCTTGTTATCGTCACGCAAAAATAGGTATATACCATCACTTCAGGGTCCTTAGTACTGTACAAATGGGCGGCGCTGATAACCCGGAAGTGACAACATATGTCGTGACGGTGTTTCTCGCGACTGACGGTTTATATTCAGTATAAATATTTTCATGCGTTTCTGGTCTCCTCACAGTAAGGCTGGAATATAAAAGTCAACTCATTAACAATCATTCACACTGAACACCATTCAGATAAATTTAGAAAAACACAACATATTAAATTTCAAGGGTAAATATAATAATAATACAAAGCTAAGATAATCAACTAACCAGCTTACTCACTTTATTTCACTTACTGACCGCCGCCTCCGTGGTGTAGTGGTTAGCGCGTCCGCCGGAGAGCGGAAGGTCGCGGGTTCGATCCCCGGCCGCGTCATACCAAAAGACGTTAAAATATGGTACTAGTTGGTCCCTGCCTGGTGCTCGGCATTAATGGGTACAACAAGGACTGGTCGGCTCAGAGTCAGTATAATGTGTCTGAGTGGGGTATTTATGCTTCACTGCGGCATGGTATCTCAGTGACCTAGCACTATAAAACCAGCT